TCTCACTCCATTTGGTGCTTGGCTGAGTTCTTTATCTCTTCATTTGATGTTTTAGGGTTTCAGGATTGTTGTATTCTCTGTTCAGCTTAGTTTTTCGGATCTTTGCTATGGAGGGACGGCGTGGTGCTTCTGCCTAGAGCGCCATTTTGCCGGAACTCTGCACCCACCTTTTTAAGAGCAGGGAAAATCTTTTCCAGAAGCATTCTAAGCAGATTAACCCCTGCGTTGTATGATTGGGGGCCTTAATTGTGTCATCTCTCCATTCATAAACCAGTGCCTAGCCCGGGGAACTTAATTACCATGATTGGCTTAAAACTTATCAAGATTCAAATCCCTGGTACTGGAGTGAGGACTCAACTAAGGCACACCTGATACCAGAACCAAACTGGGGTTCTTTTTAACAAAAACTACAAGGTAATCAAAAGCATGCCACACAGGTTTATAGCAATGGTTCTCATCTGAAGTCATTGCAGCTGCATTCTGTTGCTGGCTCTGCCATTGCCTAGGAACTGAAGACTGGCCCATCTACAAAATACTGAGGACCACTGTGCTAGACCACAGCTCAGCTGGTTGGATTCCTGTCCTTCGGATAGCCATCATACACACAGGATGGATGTATGGCCCAGTGACCAGGGTTTGTATTTTCAGAGTTTTTGCCACCCCTCCCAGCTCCTGTTCATCAGAGCAGGTCATCTCTTCATTGGTCCATCTCCCCAAAAGCAGTGATATCAGAAACAGAGACCTTTATTAAATTATTCCTCCCAAAACCCAGTCATGGATGCGGTGGTCTAATTACTATAGACACAACTGCTTTGTCTAACTTGGGAAGATGTGCTTTCACTAATAGAAATCAAAACATTTCTCAGGTGAGAGTCTGCTAACTACCACAAAATTATCTCTGAGTTACTTTACCTTTCATAGGAAATCATTATCAAACCCCTAAACTTAGGATGACTTTTAAGTCTCTTTCAAAGGAAGAAAATCATAACAGGAAAGGGAAACTGTCAATGTTTGGCATAACATCATCTTTATCTTTTCTTGTCTTCTAGAGTAAGATTGTCATGAACAGAACTTGAAGAACCCTCCTGTACAATTCTTTATAATACTGGGAGGACTGAGAGGACCTGGGACACCAGAGTTGCTTTAAGAGTGTCCAAAACTTGTAAAAGTAAAAATTAGTTTAACCTATGTGGTCATCTGCACCCTTGACACTTAAATACACACGCAAATCCACACAATACCTAAAAGAAAAATAACTTTAAGCAGTAATTCCACGTATAAAGAGACACCTGCACAAGTATTCCCTCATTCTTGTCCTAAATTGTTCTTCCTTGTAGTGTTCTTGGAATTTTTATTGCTACCTTGACCTTTTGTTGCAAGTAGAAATTCTGCCGCATACATACGTCCTATCCCTCGCAACAACCTAGGCTGATAAAAACTCATTTTTGACAAATTAAAGCAATATTTCCTAAAGTGTAGTATTCAGAGCACCTGCTTCAACTAGGGTTTTTAGGTGCAGTCGAGTAATTTTTTACTCATAGCAACCCCATGTGATAGAATAGAACTGCCCTGTAGGGTTTTCTTGGCTGTAATCTTTATGGAAGCAGATAGCGAGGTCTTTCTCCTGCAAACAGCTGAGTGGGTTCGAACTGCTGACCGTTCAGTTAGCAGCCCAGTGCTTAACCGTTTGCGCCACCAGTGCTCCATCTTAACTAGTGTGCTTATTTGAAATATAGTATGTCAACCTAGACCTACTAAATCAGAATCTCTAGGGGTGGGTCTGAAATTCTGAACCATCATTAATTCCCCAGATAATTCTTATGCACATGGAACATTGACAGCCACTGAGCTAAGAGGATAAGGACACTGGTTGGACTTTTCCGGGGGGAAATAATACCTGCCTCATCTGATTGTTGTGAGAACACCTATATAAAGTAATTGAGACATGATTGGTGAAGTATAAAAGTCAGTGCTTACAGTAGTGCCTGCTACATAGTAGGCACTCAAATGTTTGTGAATAAATGAATTAAATAACCGCATTTCGTGAATGGCACTACTTTTCAACAAAGGCTAATCTCAAAATGTTTTCACATCTAATAAAAACATAAATACAACTCCAAAAGCATTGAAAGGGAATAAAGTTTTTGTTGAAGTTGTTTTCCAGGGAAATAATACAAGAAGGTTTGCATTACACAACCCAACCACCAAACCCATTGCTGTCAAGTCGATTCCAACTCATAGTGACACTATAGCATTACACACCCAAGCTCCCTAAATACCTTTTTAAAGGCCTTCTCAAATTTCCACTCCC